AGCTTTTTATTTAAAAGCATATAATTAATATATTACAAAATGACAGAATTCTTCATGATTATTCAAATAGAGTTCTGAATCCGTCCATCAAGCCATTCGACAGTTAGGCAAAATCATTGCATCGATTCACAACAGAAAACCACATTCTACAGTATTTGATTAAATTGTATTACTGTAAAACTAAATTTGTATGCATTAGTTATTACCAATGGTACCTCACCATGCCAGAAAACAGTGAGATGAGAGAACTGAAATTATCAAGAGTAATGCAATTCGAAATCGTAGTGTAAAATTGGCCTGGATCAAACTCAAAAACACAAATAAGACACAAGTATGCTTATTTTCTGCTTAAAATTGACTGAGATTAGTAATAAATAAGATACAAGATTTCAAAGACTGTGTGCATTGGGCTTCTGAGAAAAAAACTGGACAAAAGAAAAACAGACAAAGCGTGAGATGTGAAGTCCTTAATATTTTTAAAGATCTTTCGGAATAGGGAATGACACTAAGGATAACAAATGCGACGATGGCCTAAGTGCTTTAAATAAGTATTTTCAGTCACAATTAAAAGTTAATTGTCTACTTCGATACAGAGCCTTGTGCACCTCAAGTTTAGCCTATAATAAATTTCTCAAATAAGACTGAGGCGTGAACAGAATGTCAAAAACGGCGATGGATTTTTGGCGAGCCTACTTGGAATATACACGCTAAACTGCCAAAGAATAACCTGTAATCCTATTAGCAAACGGTCTTCAATAAGGTTATCAGCCGGGATGCAAAAAGGTGCTTTCAATCCATTCAGGATTGTATACTCAAGAATAGTACGAGTCAATCATATAACTTCTAGGAAGAGGCAGAACAAATAACAAAAATAGCCAATCATTAGATTTGATTTAGATGACACAAGAATTTCAGATAAATTAGTATAGGTAATAAAATCAAAGGACAATAAGAAGATAATACATTGATAAAGGAACAGCTTCTACTAAATGAAACCGCTATATTTGCTCTTGCCTCTTTTAGCCTGTTTGCCTTTCAAAGGTAAAACCAGAGGCTTCTCCAAAAAGGAACAAAGAAGATCCCGACGTTGAGGATCAGATTGCTGATAAAGTCTTAGCAAAAGACTAGGAGGTTTAATAGCTGGTAAATCATCGTCTTCATCAAAATCATTCGTTATAGAATTGTGTTCAAAAGAATTCTTGATTGGTGTCTCGGAAGACTGGAAAATAAAAATAAGCGACATTGCTAAAGCAACAAAATAGATGAGCATGCTCACAAGCTACAAAATTGCCGTTACAATTGGCTCTAAATTAAATATAGAAATAAACATGAAACAAGTAATTCAAATGTCTAATAGCGATCATGCTGGATAAAATCCTGACACTCATAGAGTTAATCCGCATTTCTAATTAGTTACATCATTACAAATAATTCAGCACTTTTGGCACATTATCCGCAATCTACATCAAACAAGTGATAAATAAAATAAATCTAGTTCTTAATAATAACATTCATTGAAGTATGATAGATATAAAGGGCTTAAAGAATTGAAACTAGCTCCAATAAAAAGATAATGGCAAAATTTCAAGTACCAATATCTACCCGTGGGTTTATAATGAAATGCGGAAGACATATTTTAAACTGTAAATATGAATAAGTGAAACTAACAATATAATGCTTCGAACGACTAAATTACTAAAACACAAACATGGATCTCCTAATGCGCTTAAAATACCCCTGCCGAAGAAATCTCTTGCAAGACCCTTGCAGAAGCATTTGTGAGAAGTTCCATTGCATGTTTTTGGATTGCAGGGGGTAGATCTTTGGGATCGAAGACACAGGCCTTTTTGTGACCACAAAGGATATTTAGAGGACCGATGAAGTCGCAGCCGAGAGCCCTATATGGGCATGCAACCTATATAGAAAAAAATTTGAATTTTAAATTTGCATACTCACAAGGAGTGATTTCCATAGTATTTTATGAAAAGCAACCTACTCTAAAGTCGCCTATTAGGCTTTCAATTAAGAAGTCATGGTGTAGAAGGCCAAGAGGTTTTCGGTCTGAAGGACAGATATCCTGTACATTGCGCCACTTGTCGATGCACTATA